TTGAGCTTTTTCAAAAATTCAATTCTGATTTATTTATAGTGTTTTTTAGTATATCTCTTTGTATAGTTTTTTGGGGGTTGTTCTAGGTGCTACATTATGTATACATAACTCATCAATCTACTGCTTATGTCATTTTACCAGTTTGAATGAAGTATAGGAATCTTACCTCCCAATACATGCTCTTACCTTTCCTACTTAAAATGTAATTTTCTTAAGTATTTTCTTTGTATACGTTTAGAATCACATCAGACCATGTAATTATTTTTGTTTTAACTACCAAAATTAGTTTAGAAAATTCATTTGTAGGAGGAGCGCCTGCTGTATTTACCCATATTTTTCCTTACTGTGTTCTTTTTCATCCTGACTACATCAAGGGTTCCCAATACCACCCTCAGTTTTGATGTTTACTAGGAAAATTCACAAGACTCGCCATATAGTTGTACACATGGCTATGATTACAACAAATGGATACAAAGCAAAATCCACAAAGGCAAATGTATGAGAAACAAAGTCCAGAACAAACCAGGAACTAGCTTCCAAAAATCCTCTCCCAGTAGAGACACACAAACCAATTATTTCCTCCAGCAATGACGTGTGACATGTGTTAAATGTTGTCTAACAGTAAAATTCATAAGAGGCTCAGTATTCAACATTTTTAGTAGAAGCTGGTCACACAGGTACCCTCTGCCTAGCACATATCAAAACTTGAGATTCCAGAAGGAAAGCAGGTGTTCAGCATAAACCAATCCAACTTTTAGGCAGTAGGCCATTAATATCAGTTCTGGGAATGGTGCCAACTCTCCTGAAATGAAAGATTCTGATGCCAGCCAAAGGATAATCTAGGAAGCAGGACTTTCCAAGGATAGAAGTGGCAAGCCTACTATGTTAATTTTTCACAGCACATAGACATTCAAAGGTTCCCACATTTATTGTTTATCAAATTTTCATTCACCTAGAAACAAATTCTGTTTTCCTTCATCTGAGAATTTCCTGATTTCACCCTTAATTCATGAAAGATGTTTTCATTTGTTACAAGACTTGGCATTAACAGTTCTTTTCCTTCTGCTCCTGAAAAACATTGTACCCTTTCCATGTAACCTCTGTAGTTTCTGATGAGAAATCCACTACCATTCTAACAGTGTTTCCCCTGTGGGAAAAACGTGTTAATTTTTTTTTCCCCTTTCAAGGTGTTTTCCTCAGTTTTACTCTTCAGAAGATTCATTATGATGTGTCTTGGCATGGATTTCAGTGGGTTTATCATGTTTGACATACACTCATTTTTATGGATCTGTAGGTTTTCATCTCTTGCAAAATTTAGGAGGTTTGCAGCCATTGATTCTCTAATACATTTTCAACCCTGTCCTCCTTCACTTCTCCAGAACCACAGTGGCAGAAATGTTGGCTATTTTGTTATATGCTCTCCGTTCTTGAGGCTGTATTCATTTTCTCCTGGTTGTACAGACTGGTTAATTTATATTGTTCTATCTTCTAGTTCACTGATTCTGTTACCTCAAATCTGCTCATAAGCTCATCTACTGAGCTTTTTCTTCAGGTATGTATTTTTCAGTTCCGAACTTTCCATATACTTATTCATTATAACTTCTATTTCTTTGCAGAGGCTTTTAATGTTTCATTTATCTTAAGTGTGTTCTTCTAGCTGTGGATATTCAGTTGTCTAAACATCATATGTATAGATAGTCGTTTTCTAACTGAATGGTCTTGGCATACTTGCCAAAATCAATGAACCACATATGTGAGGATTATTTTTTCTGAGCTCTCAATTCTATTCCGTGATCTATATTTTTATGGTTACAGCAATACAAAAATGTTTTCACTGTTTGTAGCTTGGTACTAAATACTGACATCAGGCAGTGTGAATCCTCCAATTATCTCTTTCTTTTTAAACTTGTTTTGGCTATTCAGTTACCTATGAGATTCCAAATAAATTTTAGGATAGGTTTTTCTATTTCTGCAACATACATACACACACACACACACACACACACACACACGGGATTCTGATAGGGACTGAACTGAATCAACAGATCACTTTCACTGGTGCTGTCATCTTAGTGGTATTAAGTCTTCCAATCCATAAGCATGGGAATTCTTTCCATTTATCTAGGTCATTTTTAATTGCAGCAATGTTTTGCAGTTTTAGTGAGCAAGTCTTTTGCTTCAGTGGCTAAATTTACTGCTGAGTATTTTATTCTTGTTGATACTATTGTAAATGGAATTTTTAAAAAATGTGTTTGGATAGTTCACTGGAAATGTACAGAAATACAACTGACTTTTGCATGTTGATCTTACATCCAGAGTTTTACATTCACTTATAGGGTTCCCTCTACCCCTATGAATTTTCCCTTGTGGATTCTCTGATGTTTGTTGTAAATTTTGACTAAAGGCTTTTCTGCATTCACGATATTCATGGGGTGCTATGGGCTGAACTGTGTCCTTCCAAAATTCATATGTTGAAATCCTAACCCTCAATGTATCTATCTCTAGAGATATAGCTTCCAAGGAAGTAAGGTTAAATGAGGTCATAAAGATAGGGCCCTGTTACAATAGGCTGGTGCCTTATAAGAAAAAAAAGACACCAGAGCTTGCTCGCATTCTTTCTCTGCCATGTGAGCCCATAATTAGAAGATAGCAATCTGCAAGCCAGGAAGATAGCCCTCACCAGAAACTGAGTCTGTTGGCATGTTGATCTTAAACTTCCCAGCCTTGAGAACTCTGAGAAGTAAATTTTGTTATGGCAGCACTGGGAGACTAATTCAGATAATGGTTCTGAGAGTGGGGCACTACCATAACAAATACCTAAGTGGGAAAGTGGCTTTGGAACTGTTGGATCCTTAGAGGCTGAATAATTTTGAATTTTATGTTAGAAAAACCTGAAGGGACTATTGGTAGCAATAGAGTATTCCAATTTCTCCTTTCAGGCAAAAGCCCTGAGCAGAAATGGCTAAGTGTCATGTTATAAGTATAGGTTAGAATATTCTATATAATCCAGATCTGACACATATAAAGTATCTGGAAATTCAATTAAAAGATTCCTAATATTACATAACAGAAAACAAACCCCTTTGTTCCTTCATTCTTTCAAAATTAGTTAATAATGTGGTCCCTTTAAGATACAAGTCTAGCCCAGTAGGTGTGGCTCAGTGGTTGAGTCTCGACCCATGCACCAAGAGGTTGCCTGTTCGGTTTCCTGGTCAGGGCACATGCCCAGGGTGTGAGCCTGATCCCTGGTGGGGCATGCAGGAGGCGGCCAACCGATGTTCTCTCTCATTGATATTTCTATATCTCTCTCCCCCTCCACTCCTCTCTCTAAAAATCAATAAAGAGGAAAATTTTTTTAAGAAAAAAAGAAACAAGTCTAAGTGTCTAACACTATTCCAGGTATAGAAACTTCACCTTAAAAAACTAAGCCACACAGATGCTCATGCCTGGCATCAATTTTCCACAAGGAAGTGAATCAAAGGAAAAATTGTATATTGAGAAATGTTGGTCACAGACAGGATTAAGTTCAGGGTATGCTATGGATCCCACAGGAAGTGGCCGAGTAGAGACAGGACAAGTAAGCTGATACAGCACTCCCTTCTGGCCAAGAATGCTTCTCTATTAACACCATAAATGGTTAAGTGAAACGTACAAAAGAAAAGCTTTCCCTGTGACATTAGGGAACATTCAGAATTGTATGCACTGCATACACATTTCTTCTCAAAGGTACAAAAGGTTTGACAATTGAGGAACAGACAGCTCTCAATGATGTCTGATAACATCAAAGCCAAACATTTTTAACTTATACAGTAACAGGCAAATATCTACCATACGAGCCCAGAGCTAACATCAAGTTCAGATCTTGCAAAAAAGAGAACAAAACCTACCTTTGACATATTTACATATAGGCGATACAAATCTGAATTAGCACCATTGATACTACATTGCATAATTGACTTAACCAGCACAGAGGTGTTCCCTAATGTTAACTGCATTTGATTTTGACAAGTTCCCATGCTGACTAGTCTGGGGTTAGAAAATCTTTTTATTAGGACATACATGCATTCAGTTACTATTTATTTCCAAATCCTTGATTTCAACATGGCAAACTCTTTTCAAAATCCTTAAAGCCCAGTTTTCTCAAAGTTCAAGTCCACACTCCTTAGCCTGGCTTTCAGGAGCCTGCCTGAACTGTCTCCATCCAGGCTCAGAGTGGGTGAAAAAGGCCTTTAGGGGCCAGGCAAGTAATGAGAGTAAAGCAGGCACCACAGCCTTGGGGCGAAGGGGCACAAGGAGTGTGATTACACTGTGGAGACAGTGTTTGGCTCTAGCCACTAGTCATCCACCAAGAGTGTAGATGTAGAACAGTGGAAAAGAATCTATTGTCAGAGAATTTGGCAACCCAGACCTTTAGGTGTAATCTTCCGATTTGTAAGTGTGGAAAACTCATTTAAATATAAATAATGGAACCAGCCAAACAATCTATCTGAGTCACAAGTGTCAGCATTCAGCACCCTCACCTCTACCCAGAGAAAATGATGTGACCAAAGGCCACAGGCAGCTCCAAGCTTCCCAAATGATGAGGGACAGCCTGCCCATCACCTAGATGCTGAGACACGCTATGCTTCCCACCCCATGTCAACAGGAATGCCTTCTCTAAGTTCTTCAACTTGCCAAGTCCACTGGGGCGGGGGTAGGGGGTGGGGGGTGGCATAGTCAGTTCCTCCCTTGAAAGCTTTCCTCCACTTTATTAGGCCCTGGGAATCACTGTGCATGTCAGCATGAAGGTCCAGTATTTTTAATTTAACTGCAATAAAATGTTCTACCTGATGAATGCCTGGGTCATGAATAAAACAGGAGTCTCTAAGAAAAGGCTCCAGGTAAAAGGGGCCACTCCTCCAAGGTCAGGGCTAGGTATGGCCTAGTACCAGCAAGGTACTAGGCCAAGAAAAGGTGATGGGTCCATCCTGCAAGAGCTAGAAAGAAATTTCAGGACTCACCTCATCCCTGGTGGTCAGGAGCCCTGGAGCCATACTGGTGGTTGCTGAGTGCTCTTCCTAGAGAAGAGTGAAGTTGCAGAGGCAGAGCTGGGGAAAGAGGAGAGAAGTAACAGGGTGCTTAGGAGGAGTGCCCTTCCATCTAGCATCCCAGTTTAGCAGGAGTGAGGGGAGGTATGGAGGGCAGGTTGTAGAGCATCACAGTAGCTCATCCTTAACCAGTGTCCTGTAAATATAAGGCCCAACCCCTTTCCTACTTAAGTTTCCATCGCTCCCCTACCAATGGCAATTTCCAGGCAGAAAGGACAACCCCTCATATCCTCACATCTGGGTGCCAAGCACTGACCCAGGAGGAGCCAGGACTCAGACAAAGTGCCGTTCCTCAGAGAAGCACTTCAATACCAGTGGGACAATCAGATGTCAGATGCAGCAGACGAGCCTGAAGTCATGTGCTCTGGGACTAATTCTGCCAGAGAAAATTCCAAAACCTTTGCACTAACGAAATTTCTGAGCTAGTAACATGGGTGAATGTGTGAAGCATAAAGGCAAGAGGGAATAAATCTGCATGGATTGGAATAGATTCCCATGTGGCTGTAAACCAGAGTCCATTTGGAGTGAGGTGTGAAAATAATTCTGGAAAAGCTATTGAGGGCCAGTTCATAATGGATAATCGTCACTCTTCCTGAGCCTCAGTGCCTGCCAGGCACCCTCACCACTTTCAAAGATCCCACTTCCACCTCACAGCCCTGACATTGCTATTGGCCCTATTTCACCAATGAGAAAAAGGGAGGGACATAGAATGAAGGCAAATGCCCAGGATGACAGAGTCAGTGCTAGTAGAACCTCAGAGTCTGACTTCAGAATCCACAATAAAGAGAGGAGAACCTTTTTGTAACAGGAAGAAGATGAACTAGAAAATGGGAAAAGACAATATGCTGAGCTAACATAAAGGTGAGGTGAAAGGAGAAGAGGAGGAAGAATGGACAAGACTTATCAGCTCATCAGAATAGTGAGAAATCTGGAAAACTCAAGGAACCTGAGGTCATGCAGTGTGTGCCAAGAAGTAGAATCCTGCCATTAACAAGATCAGCAGGACTGGAATGAGTTAGAAGACTGGAGGGGGGATTCAGAAGTCAGAATTCCCAAAATTGCCCTGCACGAGCCTCCTACCTGGGCTGTTGAGAGCAGGCTTTGAGCTTTAGCAAGGCATTTTGTGACAAATGGGGAAACGGAACACAGCCTGAATATTAGGTAACTTTAATGAATTGAGGTTAATTTTGTTGGAGTTTATTTATATGTTATACAGGTTGTTTTCTTTAAAGTCCTATTCACAAGAGATGCATACGGGAGTCCATGATGGTGGCAGATTGGATGGAAGCTACCTGACCTTCTCCCAGGACTAAGTGGGAACTACTACTAAAATGTAGAAAAATCATCCTGAATACCCAAACTGAAGACTAGCTGGAAGGAAGCCCTATAACCAAAGACTTAAAGAAGAGGCCCATCGAGACTGGTAGAAAGTTCGGAGGCACAAGATGGCTGGCCAGGCTCCCACAGGCTGCAGCTGAAGTTCTGGAGGGATTATTTCAGCTACAGGGGATTTACTCTGAGTAGTCTGCGGTCTAAACTCCAAAACGGGCTCCCCATCCCAGAGCACCAGAACTGGAAAAGGTGCCCACATTACATCTGACTATGAAACGCAGCAGGGTATTTGTCTGCCAGGAAGACAACTAGAAATGCAGGCACCCTCTTAAAATGCCGACACACAAAATTTTGTTTGCAAACATCCACCTTGGGCTCCAGCAGAGGGAGGGCAGAGTGAAGAAGAGCTGTGTGATGAGAGTCCAGGGTTGGTGGCTCTGGGAAGAGAGCTAAGAGAACAGCAATCTGGATCCCTGTGCTGAGTCATCCCCATATCCTGCAGAAGCCATTTTTCTCCAGCAAACCATTCCTATCTATGCAGCATTAGCCTGCTGTGAAGCAATAGCCCCACCCTTGGGAATCCCTCTCACCCCACCTTGTGGAGCTTACACCCCTGACTACAGCTAGAGGCCTATTAGACTGAGACTAACAGACAGCCTGCAGGCAAAGGCAGATCCCTGTGGGTAGCTGGAGTTTTTTCCTGACCTGCTCCTGGGCCCCAGCTAGGCAGCAAAATATACCTTCTTTTTAAGTGCACGTGGAATGTCTTCTAGGATAGACCCCATGCTGGAACACAATACAAGTCTCAATAATTTAAGATGACTGAAATCATATTAAGCGTCTTCTCTGACCATAATGCTATGAAACTTAAAATTAATCACAAGAAAACTGAAAAATACATGAAGACATATATGCTAAATAACATGTTACTAAACAATTAATGAATTTACAACAAGATCAAGGAAGAAGATACTTTGAAATGAATGAAAATGAGAACACAACTTAAAATCTGTGGGACACATGGAAAGCATTCTTAAGAGGGAAATTCATAGCATCATAGGCCTATCTCAAGGGAAAGAAGGAAAAAAACACCTCAAATAAACAATCTAACTTTATACTTAAAGGAACTGAGAAAGAACAACAAAGCCCACAGTGAGTACAAAGAAGGTAATGATAAAGATCTGAGCACAAAAAAATGAAATAGAGTCTAAAAAACAAAATACAAAAGATCAATGAAACCAAGAGCTGGTTCTTTGAAAAGAAAAACAAGATTGACAAACTTTTAGCCAACTTCACTATGAAAAAAAAAAAAGAGGACCCAAAAAAATAAAATTAGATATGAAAGAGGAGAAGTAACAACTAACACCAAAGAAATACAAAGGTTTGTAAGAAAATGTTATAAACAACTATATGTCATCAAATTGAACAATCTGCAAGAAATTGATAAATTCCTAGAAACATACAACCTTCCAAAACTAAATCAGGAAGAATCAGAGAATCTGAATAGACAGATTACTAGTGAAATTGAAGCAGTAATCAAAAAAAACACTCCCAACAAACAAAAGCCCTGGACCTGATGGTTTCACAGGTGAATTTTACCAAACATTGAAAGAACTAACAACTATCCTTCTCAAACTATTGCAAAAAATTCAAGGGGAGGAAAGATTCCAACGCTTATTTTATGAGGCCAGCATTATCCTAATTCCAAAACCAGATAAAGAAAGAAAATTATAGGCCAATATCCCTGATAAACATAGACGCTAGAATCCTCCACAAAATATTAGCAAACTGAATCCAGCAATACAAAAAAAGATTATACACCATTATCAAATGGAATTTATTTTGGGACTACAAGGTTGGTACTACATCTGCAAAATAATAATTGTGATACACCACATAAACAAACTGAAGGGATAAAATCAAATGATCATATCAATAGGTGCATAAAAAGCATTTAATAGAATCCAGCACTCATTCATGCTAAATACTCTCAGCAAAGTGGGAATAGAGGGAACATACCTCAACATGATAAAGGCCATATATGACAAACCCACAGCCAATATCATATTCAATGGGCAAACACTACAAGCGTTCCCCCTAAGATCAGGAACAAACCCACTTTCACTCTCTCTCTTTCTCTTTTTAAATATGTTTTATTGATTTTTAGAGAGAGAGGAAGGGAGAGGATAAGAGAGACAGAAACATTGATGAGGGAGACACATCAATGGGCTGCCTCCTGCCTATTCTCCACTGGGGATCAAGCCCGCAACCTGGGCATGTGCCCTGACCAGGAATCAAACTAATGACCTCTCGGCCCATGGGTCAATGCTCAATCCACTGAGCCACACTGGCTGGACTCACCACTCTTGTTCAATATAGTACTGAAAGTCCTAGTCACAGCAGTCAGACAAGAAGAAAAAATAAAAGGCATCCAAATTGGAAAGGAAGAAGTAAAACTGTAATTATTTGCAGATGACATGATATTGTACATAGAGAACCCTAAAGATTCCACCATAAAACTACTAGAATTGATAAATTAATTCAGTAAAGTTGAAGGATACAAAATAAATATCCAGAAATCAGTTGCATTTTTATACACCAATAATGAACTATCAGAAAGGGAAACTAAAATAAAAATCTCATTCTTCAAAATGAATAAAATACCTAGGAATAAATTTAACCAAGGATATAAAAGACCTGTGCTCAGAAAATTATAAGACACTGAAGAAAGAAATTGAGGAAAATACAAATAGGTAGAGCATATACCGTGTCCGTGAATAGGAAGAATTAACATCATTAAAATGTCCATACTACCCAAAGTAATCTACAGATTCAATTCAATTCCTATCAAAATGGCAATGGATTATTTCACAAAACTAAAACAAAAAACATTTCAAAAATTTGTATGGAGCCACAAAAGACCCCAAATAGCATCAGCAATCTTGAGAAAGAAGAATGAAGTTGGAGGAATCACCCTACCTGACATCAAACTATACTACAATGCCATAGTAATCAAAATAGCATGGTACTGCCATAAAAACAGACATATAAATCAATGGAACAGAATAAAGCCCAGAAATAAATCCACACCTTTATAGTCCATTAATATTTGACAAAGGAGGCAAATGCACTAAAGATAGTTTAGTCAATAAATGGTGTTGGGCTCTGGCCGGTTTGGCTCAGCGGTTAGAGCGTTGGCCTGTGGTCTGGAGAGACCCGGGTTCGGTTCCACTAAGGGCACATACCTCGGTTGCAGTTTGTCCCCAGCCCTGGTTGGGTCGTGTGGGTGGCGACCACTCAATGTGTCCCTTTCACGTCAATGTTTCTCTCTCTCTCTCTCTCTCTCTCTCCCTCCCACTCTATCTGAACAAAGTATCGAAAAATGTCCTCAGGTGAGGATAAATAAATAAATAAATAAATGGTGTTGGAAAATTGGACAGATAGGTGCAAAAAAATGAAACTAGACCACCTTCTTACACCACACACAAGAATAAATTCAAAATGGTTTAGAATTAAATGTTAGACTCGAAATCATAAAAATCCTAGAAGAAAACGTAGGCAGTAAAATCTCTGACATTTCTCATAGCAATATTTTTTCTGATATATCTCCTCAGGCAGTGGAAACAAAAGAAAAAATAAAGAAATGAGACTACATCAAACTAGGAAGT